TAGATTTTGCTTGTTTGTTATACAACTCTATTTTCTGCATTCTTTTTTTAAACAACTTCTTTGGTGTATTTACAGATGTTTTCGACAAAGAGACGATTTCTATCATCATTGCTATTGTTGCTTTTGTGTTTGTCGTCGTAGTTTTGGTTTTGATCATTCGAAAACGAAAACCCAAAGAAGGTAAAACATCTAATTTCTACTCAGTGACTAAATGTAGTTTGATCATACCTCTTCTATTTTTTAGCTAAAAGCATCGCCAGGAAAGGAATGTAGAACCCCCCTCCATATACGGATGCCGCTAATGACGTCACAGTAAGTTGCCACGAGAACATAATGTGGGAATTCACGATAGTTCCACGTGAGCATGTGTTATGTATTAGCGGATAATGACGTCACACTAAATGATAACTACATATAGTAACTATAGTAACTACATAATAACTACACGATAGTTTCACGTGTGGACACGTGATATGAACACTGCATAAATTGTCATTATTGTGTATATAACCTTTGGGTGAATCGGTGCGAGGGATTGTAAATGAGACGGGGAGATGTTAAAGCGTCATCATGGTTCTTCGACATTGGTCTAAATTAGTCAAACTTGTCTACCAAAGGTCGCAAGACATGTTCGGCGAAAGATTCATAAACTCCCATTCGGAGTTCCGGAGCTGAGACGCTGTACCGCTAGCGACTTTACAAAATATCGTAGGCAATATAGAACTTCTCAAGGGACTCCAAATACCAAATATAAACTTAGAAGATCTTGGATGTCCTAGAGCAGATCATCTTTTCTATATGCTCGACTCAATCGAGACATGTGGAAATCACATAACCGAGGTAAATGCTCATCGGCATTGCGCAAAAGTTTAAGTTGAGGCATATGGGGCGCTGTTAGAAGATCAACGATAAAGACCTAAAAAACCCCAGTTCTTTTAAGAACCACCAAATCTATAAAATAATATGAATAAAATCGAGATAAACATATAAAATCTCCCAATCATAGCAAACAACACTACATTTACAATCCCTCGCACGGATTCACCTAAAAGTTATACACAATATTATGCTGTGTTCACATCACGTGAAACTATCGTGTACATTTCACTGAGCTATATAATAATTCCTGGAGGACCGGCTCTTGGCCAGAAAGTGAAGCAAAAAACATGGCGGATTTCGGCGTTTGCTGACGCCACTAACAGCTGGGAAATTTGTTGCGCATGCGCTAGTTCGGCTTGCGTGTACCCCACGAATATATTTCGCGCACTACACGGCGGACCTTTAAATATATAAACAAAAACATGGTAGCCAAACTTTTTTTTGGTATTTTGCTTGTTTTTAATGCCATCAAAAATAAAAAGGAATAAAAAGGAATAAATTTTGTGCCGTGTGTTGCAAATGCTGCAAAAAAAAATTAAATCCTGCAAGAAGTAGCCTTCCGCAAAGCACATTTTTGGAGAGTTGCTTTGGTCTTCGCTTGACGACGATGTACTGACACAGAGATTATATGCGAAATTACGCTTATGGGGGCAATTTATAATTAAAAACGATTTTGAAATTTTTCTTTCTACACCTCCAGGGAATTCAAAAGTACAATTAGAATTTTGGAGATTTCGGCTAATTTTCTTTTAATCTGGTCGAGTAGGGACCACGCGTAAATACAGAATGGGACGAAAAAAATCAAGGACATACTTTTAGAATATTTCTTGCTCGAGGGAACGTAACGGAGCTGACATACCGCGATACAAGGTGAAAAACTGTGTCCGTCTCCCTCCTGGATTTTATGAAAATATTTTCAGCTTTCCGTATATATTTTTTCGTATTTCATTTTTGTTTCTTTTTTCTTCGGTTCAAAAAAATTGAACGAAGAAGTGGCTTCTTGCTCAAACGATGTGGGGAGGGTAATTTTTTCTCATTTAGCATTCAGGTAAGCCATTTTTATAATAATTTCGGGATTTTTTGTCTTTGGATTACATATTTATCACTAGTCTGACTACCAAAGCTTCTGAGCCATTATTACAATGATTTAAATCCATCAAAACGTATCGTATAAACAGCAAATATACTATCGTATTTTCGACCTTTGGTACACGAGCTAATTACAGTGCAATGTAAGTTATGCAACTTCTTGTTCAGGTCCACATTTCATTTTATGGCATTCAGGCATTGGAGTGGATTCATGACACCTCATTTCAGTCATTTGAGAAGAGTGACTATTTTCTCTTGACTTGAGTGGGCAAAAAATTGTGGGAATTAAATTCTTGGCAGTGTAAATCTTTTGAGTTTCATCTATGTTGTTTTTATGATATAGCAAGCATCTATGAAATAGGATTTGTGGAGTGTTTTTGTGCAAGCAGTAACTTACTTACATTTAATATGCCAATAGGTAAACCATTCCCCCAGTGAATGTATTAGTCTATTGATCCCCTCCCATCATCATTAACATGATGATGTGATGATAACATCATAACAATTAACATGATATGACTGACAAAGGTGCTCATTGGGTGCTGATACAAAGTAATACAATTTTGTGGCAAACAGTGTAAAATTGCAACTTCTGATAGTGGCTGTTAAAGCTTAGTTAATATATTATCTTTTCTGCCAATTTATCATGCAATTATCATGGCTTACAATTAATTTCTTAGCCTCTTGCACCTTGTGAATATATCTCGATGAGATCTCTATTTTCATTTTTCAGGATGAGCATGCCATGAATAATAAAGCAAGAGATGACTTGTCATGCAAATTGCTGGAACATTGAACTGAGATGAATACAGCACATTATACATGTTGTGATGAATGTGCATTGTTATTCTTAATTGCCATGTTAACTGATTTTCTTGTTCGCTTAATTGTGTTTTATACCAATTGTTATATTTATCGAAGAAATAAATATAAACATGCATTGACTGAGCAGGGTGTCTTCAAGCTCCAGCCACTTTAATAGTTTTTGTTTATGGTATCAACCTCCAAGAGGGCCATGTTTATTTGTTAGGCTAATCAGGAATAATGGAGCGTACGGAGGGATAAATATTACTCATTACAATGACCAGGGGTCCATGGATGCAATTAAAAATACTAAAAACTTTTATAGCCCTTTGAGGTACAAGCTAATGATTTTGCATTTTGCCTGAGCTTTGCCTTCTGTTTCTTTGGCTTATGATTTATGCACAGGTATAAAGTCCTGAAGACATCATCACATACTAATTGCATTCTTTCTGTATTAAATTCTTCATGGTTTTATGGTTTAGAAAATTTGATGCCCATAAATTCCCAGTTGTCCTCAAAATATCTTATGATAGCGCCAAAATGAATTCAAAGTTCAAAAATTTATAAAACTTCATTGTGATATTGGAATGCATAAAACAAATATATAAAGCAATAACGAGAATATACCTTCAGTTCGGTCAGTATTATCTTTAGTTGTCCACATTTTTTCGACATTTTAATCTATATTTGTCCTCGCATTGGCAGTATCATTTAAAATAAAAACTTTATTGGAGGCCAGGGTGAAAAATATATCAAAAAAACAAAAACTATTTCAAAAACAAAAAATTCATATAAACCAGGGGGAGAAATGTTATTTAGAAAATCCAGGATGGAGAATGCTGCTGTAGGGGGCTCAGAATTGAGCCTGGTCAGTGGTAAATACCATGGCGAAAAGGAACCAAGTGGCGTCAGCAGAGCTTCTGCGGTTGCGCAGAAGGGTGAAGTCCGCCATGTTTTTTGCTTCAAAAAGATGGCGGACAAAGTTACTGAAATGGGAGGAGCCGGTCCTCCAGGAATTATTATATAGCTCAGTGGTACATTTAGTGTCACGTCATTATACGCTAATACATCACGTACACTAGTTCACATGAAACTATCGCGTATTCCCACATGATGTTCACGTGGCAACCTACTGTGACGTCATTGGCGTTATCCCCTTCATCCGTATAGGGGTTAAATTAAATGGGAAACTGGCGATTAATAAACTGAAATTATCTTCAATAAATAACTTTGAAAAGTGCGAAAAGATTATTGTGCCGAATAGTAAGTAACGTTGGGGAGAGGGGGATGTGGAAACGGGGTAATCGTTCCGGAATCCTGGGCCAAAACAAAACTGAACTCGTGTACTTTTTCTCGGATACAAGGTACATGTAATTGTAATTTAATGTCCAGAATCCACTTATCAACGTAATTTTTAATCCTAAATCTGGCCATAACCCTTACCCAACTACTTATACAGAACGATTAGAATGAAGCGATATATTCGTGGATTCTGGACATGAAATTATTACAGAGCAGAAAGTGCTACTAAAAAACATATTTACAACAGCAGTAAGAGCTAACCCCAACTGAAAAACTATGAATACATATATTGTGTTTAACTAATAAGTTGGTTACTCTTACAGACTATAAGCTAACATTGAGTCAGGGGATTATTTACTCCTTGGTTTTCATTCAATTCTTAATTTCTGCAGTGGTTCGTATTATCCTCATAATATTCCGCGTTCCTGGTCTGGCGACGCCACTCTAATCACCAAACATAATGACAAACAGAGAATTAATAATATTTGTATGATGATATTAGCATTTTATATTCCTTATAAGAGTCTTCACATTCAGCAACTCCGGAAAACCGTCCTCCAGAGTACGGTAATCTAACACCTGGTGGAAATCCGATTCCACAACATTCGCGTGGTGTTGTGCTGTGGAGAAGAGATTATATCAACACGCATTCTTCGCAGAGCTCTTGGTATGACAGGCTCCAGCTATTTCCACCATTGGCTGTTGATTGGCTTCGAAACGCGTGGGGAAATGTTGATGAGTCTGGCCACCATGTTTATGACGTCCTGGGACGTCATGTCAGAAATGTCTTCGTTCCATACGACGATTTGTGCTTCGAAACAAATAGGGCACAAGGAGAAAATGCGACAGAGCTTTACGACACTCCGGAAAGACCCTCAGCTGTCATTTTGCCAATGGAAATTGCTAGTATTCCCACAACTGAGATTGCTTGATCATGTATCACAGGACATACATGACTCTCTTTCCTGCGTGTCTTATTTTAAATGTGGCCGATTAAACTTCGAAGAATTCACTTCGTTACAACAATTTCCAGTAATTTGTAAAGGGCGTTCGAAATTCAAAAGAAACGATAGCAGATCGTATTTGACAACTTTAGATGCCCCAGGCGGGTTTTGTGTGGGGTTAGAATTGTAGTAAACACTTATTTTAGACTTACATTATCTGATTGTTATTTTAAATCGTGTATTTACCGTATCAATTTAGATACTTTCATACTTTTAATGATCGATGTGATTGCGTCTGATTGTGAATGCTATTAGAATACTTTTAATATATAATAGAAACCCTAGTCTTATTATTATTAGCCCCTCAAATGCTCTTTTTTGCCCCCAGTGCACTGTTCTCACGATGCCAGTAATCAGGGCCATAGCTAGAAGCTTAATTAATTGGGGGGTGTTTATTCATATTTTCATCATTTCCGACTGATTTCTTTTGTAAGCTATTGTTCCGGGCCTGCTGTAGGTAAACATGAGTATTTGAATAACGCCCCCTCCCCCCCCGCGGTTTGGCTACGGCCCAGTGACAGTAATTATGTACTATAAACATCATAAACGGCTCAAAAATACTTTTTCACCAAACGGATATGGGAAACGCAAATATGTGCTACTAAAAGTCAGCGTCAATGTTTTGCTGAGATATGAAGCTTTACATAAACATAAACAGTGGATTATTTACCTTATCGCAGCACATCTCTCATTTTGACGAGAACAATAGGCAAGAGATCTCGTCTTTTAATTAGCCTGAATATAATTATATAAAAATTCGTATGTTCAGTTGTAGTAAAATCTCGGAATCATTTTGCTCTAAATCCTTGCCAATTTAGTTTTCATGCATGAATGGCAATGTTTTCAACAGCAATACAGCATAGGTATAGTCGAGCTTCGAAAACCGAGCGGGATGACGTGCCTGGATCCATTTGTTTAACAACAAACATCAATTAAGATTATGCCCCTTTTATCTATGTACTGTGGCTTCCAAAACGTTAAATACACTAGCTCCCATATGTCATTAAGATATTTTGTTTTGTCATATAGCAAATTATAAACTCTCACATGGTTCAAATGCGTATACAGAGATTTACATCCTCCCAATAGTCTACAACAACTATTCTAGTACATTTCGAGCAAGGAGCGTCCGAAATAGGGAGCATAAAAAACATCAGACATGCATATGACCATGCATGCATATAACATTCTTGTTTTTTTAAAAGAGCGAAATTGTATTAAACTTGTGGAAAGCCACTGTATGTATTTCTCATAATATCATTCATGTGTCAATGTTTTGCCTGCGCCATCTCTTCCCGGTTCTGTGAAATTCTCGTTTTATACGCTGCTGCACAGTATTTTGGAAAAGAAAAACGCACGGGAATATTGAGAAATCGACGTCAACGCGCCGATATGCTATAATCCGTTAATTAATAATCACCAATTAATAGCACGATTGCAGTGCAAAGGAGCCACAACAGACACTACCTAATATCTTATTTTCTATTAATAAATTTTGTTGAAATTTTGTGTATAAGCATTATGACTTATAACTACGAATATTCATGCTGAGCGCGATAGCATACATGCATGCCATATTTTGGCATTGTAAGTTCGAAAGTCTTAGCATAATTGTAGGTTGTAATCAGTTGAGCCAATCAGCTATTGAAACGTAAGAATTACAAGATAAAAGCTAGGCAGTAAGCATTGCCTTTGCATAAATAGTTATTTAGTTCTACCCAGTGGTTCTACCTTCACAAACTACCAAACCACGACTACAGAAATAAGTTCTGGCGACGTTTTCAGTCGGGCTTTGGATCCATATCCACACTATGTAGGAAATATTCCACGCCGCATCAACTATGAATGTTGGCGAAATTATCAACACTGTTGGACATGGTTTGATTCTACTAATGATTTGTTGTTGTTCAAGTATTGCTGGTAAAGTCTTTTGAAATTCTATAACATTTCACATCGCTGTAGATTAAGTCATAAGCTATTTTCCACTTTTTCTTACAGCTGATTACCAGCATCGAAGAAAAAACAGGTAAAATTATTTGATATAATGTTGTTAGTCGTTCTGCAGTAACATCGATATCCTGATTACGTCAAATGAACCAGCTGTCTTTCCCAACCGCACGCACGTGTATACCACGCGGGGTTTGAAAGATGCGAATATTATCCTGAACTCTGTAAACGTTACCAGAATTTCTACTGGAAATTCGATGATATATGAAAGTTTAAACAAGGCCATAGCTAATTTAGGGATGTATATATATTCGTAATTCGTCTTATGGCCGACTGATTTCTTTTCAAAGTGTTTGTTCCTACGATATGCAATCATAAACGTGTGAATATACACCCCTCCCACTGAGCGTTCAAGGCCAAAGTTGCTTAAAGGTCAATTCTGAGCGTTCAAGGCCAGAATTGTATAAACTATAAAGGTCTATTTATACGAACCAATTTTGTTTGATCCAATTCACTCATGATGGATTGACTTGAAAGCCTATGGGCAACAAACCAACATAATCTAGCGTATATTACGGATCGTGATTCGTGAGAACAGACCTTAAGTCCCCATATAAATATCCATCCGGTTCATCTAAGCCATACGGCTGATAGCCGTAAGGCTAATACGTACGGGCTGGCAGCCGTAAAACGTACGTACGCTTGTACGGTCGCCCCAGACTTCATGATGTGCTCAAGATCTGCAGCGCGCGTTTACAAGGCCTGGGAATAGGCTGCAAGATCTGGGGATATCGGAAATGACGCACCTTCCCTAGCTACAGTAAACTAGCTATCAATAATAATAAATTGATCTGTAATTGTGCGCTGTTGTCTCCGGCATTTCTCCCTTGTCTGGCCTCTGTTGTCTGGCTTGCTGTAAGGAAATTTTCACTGATATCCAGGTGAAATATCTGGAGGGAATTTTTTTGCAGAAAAAGAGCTCATTTGCGAAATATTTGCATCTAAAAATCGATAAATACATTTTGTTATTGAAATAACATTGCGCCACAACATACGAAAATATGCGGGCTTTTCCCCGAGATACTGAGACTGTTCACATGATACGCGTGCTATAAAGATGTACCTAGGAACCGGATGGAGACATCCCCCTCTCCCCCCAAAAATATAAGAATATAGAGAACAAATATAAACCACACTAGCTAGTGGTGTCCTTACAGCTTTGGCAGGCAATCCATCCCTAAAGGCCCTTTTATTAACCAAAACGGCCCCCGGAAGCTGGTCCCCCCATGGCCCCCCAAACTCTGGATACCTCCTACGCCCATGTATAGAATAGACCCTGTTTTGCGTGCAGCCTTTTACCACCAGGGACAAAGGGACAAAGTATCAACGAGCTTCACTCAACATAGCACAATCGTCCGGTGAAAAACTCAGATATCGCATTTATTTTGGAAAGATAGAGAGTTTGCACCATGAAATCATATTCACGGCTGGTAGCCGTATAACATACGTCCACTGTATGGTTTAATATGGTGTATGAATGGTGATATTAGAGCGTTTGCACATAAAACCATATTCACGGCTGGTAGCCGTATAACGTACGTCCCCTGTGTGGTATATGGTGGTTGAATGTTGATATTAGAGAGTTTGGACTATGAAATCGTATTCATGGCTGGCAGCCGTATAACGTACGTCCGCTGTATGGTATATGGTGGTTGAATGGTGATATTAGAGAGTTTGCACCATGAAATCATTTTCACGGCTGGTAGCCGTATAACGTACGTCCTCTCTATAGTATATGGAGTAGACACCGCAGAAATTGGTGTTTAAGACGTTTCAACCCGAAAATCTAATCGCTGGTTCACAATTGTGCATTTCTGTATCGCCCTATCAAAGAGAAACCTTTTGAATATCTTAAAAAAGTTCAATTTTTCTTCTGAATACGCATTCTGCAATCTTTTGACAGCTCATCATACACATCTGACCGCTGTGAAATGGCCATTTTGAGGCTTAAAGTATACACAAGGTTATTAATTCAGACGATTCGTTTTTACCGTGAGCAAGCTTCAAATCTTTTGTGCAAGACATATTTTCTTGAATATTTATAAATCTTTTTCTCACCAAGTTTAAAGTCTAAGTATCGAGAATTGCGGCTAAGCCTATACCAATTTCCGCGGTGTCTATGGAGTATGAATGGTGATATTAGAGAGTTTCCACCATGAAATCATATTTACAGCTGCTAGCCGTATAACATACGTCCTCTCTATGGTATATGGAGTATGAATGGTAATATTAGACAGTTTGCAGCCTGAAATCATATTCACGGCTGGCAGTCGAATAAGGTACGTCCGCTGTATGGTATATGGTGGTTGAATGTTGATATTAGAGAGTTTGAACATGAAATCATATTCAAGGCCGGTAGTCGTATAACGTACGTCCTCTGTATGGTATATGTAATATGAAGGGTAATATTAGACAGTTTGCACCATGAAAATCACATTCACAGCTGGTAGCCTTATAACGTACGTCCGTTGTACCGTATATGGTGGTTGAATGTCGATGATAGAGAGTTTTCACATGAAATCATATTCAAGGCCGGTAGCCGTATAACGTACGTCCTCTGTATGGTATATGGAGTATGAATGGTGATATTAGAGAGTTTGCACCAACGTATCTCCGCTGTATGGTATATAGTGCCTCATTTTATTTAAACCAAAGGTGATGGTGGTAAACACTCATGGTGGTGGATGGGAAAAAATTTTACCATTCATATTCCATATACCATGCAGCGTACGCACGTTATACGGCTACCAGCCGTTAATATGATTTCATGGTGAAAACTCTCTAATATCACCATTCATATACCATATACCACACAGCGGACGTAGGTTATACAGCTACCAGCCGTGAATATCATTTCATGGTGCAAACGATCTAATATCACCATTCATACTCCATATACCATACACCAGACTTACGTTATACGGCTGCCAGCCGTTAATATGATTTCATGGTGCAAACTCTCTAATATCAAAATTCAACCACCATATACCATACAGCGGACGTACGTTATTCGGCTACCAGCCGTGAATATGATTTCATGGTGCAAACTCTCTAATATCACCATTCATACTCCATACTGCATATACTACTATACAACGGACGTACATTCTGAGGCCACCAACCGTGAATATGATTTCATGGTGCTAACTCTCTAATATCATCATTCAACCACCATATACCATACAGCGGGCGTACGTTATAAGGCTACCAGCCGTGAATATGATTTCATGGTGCAAACTTTCTAATATCACCATTCAACCACCATATACCATAAAGCGGACGTACGTCATACGGCTACCAGCCGTTAATATGATTTCATGGTGCAAACTCTCTAATATCAAAATGCAACCACTATATACCATACAGCGGACGTACGTTATTCGGCTACCAGCCGTGAATATGATTTCATGGTGCAAACTCTCTAATATCACCATTCATACTCCATATACCATACAGCGGACGTACGTCATACGGCTACCAGCCGTTAATATGATTTCATGGTGCAAACTCTCTAATATCACCATTCAACCACCATATACCATACAGCGGACGTACGTCATACAGCTACCAGCCGTGAATATGATTTCATGGTGCAAACTCTATAATATCATCATTCAACCACCATATACCATACAGCGGGCGTACGTTATAAGGCTACCAGCCGTAAATATGATTTCCTGGTGCAAACTTTCTAATATCACCATTCAACCACTATATACCATACAGCGGACGTACGTCATACGGCTACCAGCCGTTAATATGATTTCATGGTGCAAACTCTCTAATATCACCATTCAACAACCATATACCATACAGCGGACGTACGTTATTCTGCTACCAGCCGTGAATATGATTTCATGGTGCAAACTCCCTAATATCACCATTCATACTCCATATACTACTATACAACGGACGTACGTTATGAGGCCACCAGCCGTGAATATGATTTCATGGTGCAAACTCTCTAATATCATCATTCAACCACCTTATACCATACAGCGGGCGCACGTTATAAGGCTACCAGCCGTGAATATGATTTCATGGTGCAAACTCTAATATCACGATTCATACTCCATATACCATACAATGGACATACGTTATAAGGCCACCGGCCGTGAATATGATTTCATGGTGCAAACTCTCTAATATCATCATTCCACCACCATATACTATACAGCAGACGTACGTTATTCGGCTGCCAGCCGTGAATATGATTTCATGGTGCAAACTCTCTAATATCACCATTCATACTCCATATACCATAGAGGGGACGTACGTTATACGGCTACCAGCTGTGAATATGATTTCATGGTGCAAACTCTCTAATATCACCATTCATACTCCATATACCATAGAGAGGACGTACGTTATACGGCTACCAGCCGTGAATATGATTTCATGGTGCAAACTTTCTAAAATCAATATTCATACATCATTTATCATACAACGGACGTACGTTATTCGGCTACCAGCCGTGAATATGATTTCATTTTGCAAACTCTTTAATATCAACATTCATACACTATATACCATACAGCGGACGTACGTTATATGGCTGCCAGCCGTGAATATGATTTCATGATGCAAACTGTCTATCAGCATTCATACAATATGTACCATACAACGGACGTACGTTATGAGGCCATTAGCCATTAATATGATTTCATGGTGCAAACTCTCTAATATCATCATTCAACCACCATATACCATACAGCGGGCGTACGTTATAAGACTACCAGCCGTGAATATGATTTCCTGGTGCAAACTTTCTAATATCACCATTCAACCACTATATAGCACATACGGCTACCAGCCGTTAATATGATTTCATGGTGCAAACTCTCTAATATCACCATTCAACCACCATATACCATACAGCGGACGTACGTTATTCGGCTACCAGCCGTGAATATGATTTCATGGTGCAAACTCTCTAATATCACCATTCATACTCCATATACTACTATACAACGGACGTACGTTATGAGGCCACCAGCCGTGAATATGATTTCACGGTGCAAACTCTCTAATATCATCATTCAACCACCATATACCATACAGCGGGCGTACGTTATAAGGCTACCAGCCGTGAATATGATTTCATGGTGTAAACTCTCTAATATCACGATTCATACTCCATATACCATACAATGGACATACGTTATAAGGCCACCGGCCGTGAATATGATTTCATGGTGCAAACTCTCTAATATCATCATTCCACCACCATATACTATACAGCGGACGTACGTTATTCGGCTGCCAGCCGTGAATATGATTTCATGGTGCAAACTCTCTAATATCACCATTCATACTCCATATACCATAGAGAGGACGTACGTTATACGGCTACCAGCCGTGAATATGATTTCATGGTGCAAATTTTCTAAAATCAATATTCATACATCATTCAGTATCATACAACGGACGTACGTTATATGGCTGCCAGCTGTGAATATGATTTCATGGTGCAGACTTTCTAATATCACCATTCAACAACTATATATCATACAGCGGACGTACGTTATAAGGCTACCAGCCGTGAATATGATTTCATTTTGCAAACTCTTTAATATCAACATTCTTACACTATATACCATACAGCGGACGTACGTTATATGGCTGCCAGCCGTGAATATGATTTCATGGTGCAAACTGTCTATCAGCATTCATACACCATGTACTATACAATATAGGTATATGTTATAGTCTTATAGAGCTTCATGCAGTGTTTTAAATGTTATAGTTATAATATTAATGGTTTTGTGTTATGGTTGCAATAAAGGCTTTGTCAAGAACAATATCGACAACAATACACCACCACTACACACCCAATGGTTTATTTATTACGTATATTTTTCATAACAGAAAGGATAGGATTAAAGAAATATGACATTATTTGAAAATTCCTCTTTGCTTGTATCTTCAAACTGCAATAGCTGAACAATCTGAGGAAGATTGCACGACTGCACACTCTACACTACAATCACTAAGAATGCCTGTGGATAAAAATCAAAATCATTAAATTACTTCTCAACATTTATTGACATATATATGTCAAGAACTTATATATACATGCAAGTACCATACCTTTTATTTTGCATATGCATGGTTCTTGCATGACGAAGTATGTATGCTACAAATGTCTCTACTTCCGTGGTCAGTTCTATAGTGAACATTTCTGTTCTCATATCATCCTAAGCCTTTTTGTTTTCTCTGGGCTTTTTGATAAGGAGTTGTGCCATCAACTTCACTGATCCTCTCATCTAATCCTTCATCTTCTATTTCACAAGATATAATTTGCTCATGTATCTCATCATCATTACCTTCTTGTAAAAACCTTGTAGGCTGGGCAACCTTCTCCATTTCTGTGAGACCATCATGATGATGAATGACTACAGGAACAGAAGGCAACTTTTTTACACATATCAGCAAATATTACTATTAATGGTACATATTTGACATAAATTATGACCTACAGTTTCTGCAGTCCTTACCTAGAAATCATTGCAAAGTTGCATAATTCATATAAACCATTGATATAAAGAAACCAAAATAAATATGTACCCCATACTAGTTATATCATCAAGCCAGATGCCTAACAAAATTGCCTTCCTTTGAAAAATTAAAGAAAAATACCACAATAAAACTGTTAAAACTGTTATAAGAGTAAACTTTTTCCAATTGACTGACTCATAGCCCAAAGAAACATTATTAGAATCTTGTAGTTGCAAAAGATGGCGTCGTTTATTCCAGAATTAAATTCATAACAAATAAAAATATTCGCATTTTCCAGCAGAATCTCATGTACTTCTAAAGTTCAGTATCTTACTTCTTCATTCTTTAAAGTTATAACTTAATTTTTCGTTTAACTTCAGATTTAGGTAAAGAATTTCTGTAGAAACTATAATTATTGGCAGAACTCAGCGTACAAACGTACGTACGTTACACGGCAAACAGCCCGTCCGTTTGGGGTGTTTTTTACTGGCTAATAGCCGTATGGAAAGAGACGAAACGGGTGAAATATCAACTGGAACTGGGGTCAGGCAATGAGGGGGGGGGGCAAAGTTGCAGATACGCTCTTTCATTTTGAGGGATTCATTCCCAAATGTTAAGTAAATTGCCACTTCCGAGTTTCAAGAATGGCACAGGAAGCTTCTATAGTATGCGCCGAAACAGAAGTGCCGTATCACGAAACAGAAGTGCCGTATTCTTATTTTTACACACACTTTTCAAGCATGAGTAAATTCATTAAATCAATTCTATCAAACTTCTCTTATATCAAAGTCTTATTGAATTGCAGATTTCGCGTAGTCTTAAAATACGACTGGCAATCAAGAAAATATTTTATTTCGCCAGACGACAGGGGAAATATGTGATGCTGTCAGCTATTGCTCTTTTGTTATAGAACTTGTATTCCTGCCGAAGCTGAGCCAACACTCAACTCAAGTTCCTGTTTTCCTTTGGTGAATTTCACTCGGCCTTTTTGTAAAAATCACGGAATCATTTTATCAAACTACGTTTTTCGAACTCCTTCTCGACAAAATACGAAAAACAACGAACTAAACCGAGTCCAAGACACTCTCGAGAGGCTTGGGGAGTTAAAAATAAGTCTTTATTCGAAGATTAGCGTTACCAAAGTGCGAATATGCATTCCAATCCTAAATATATACCTTTGTCATTTTTTTTTCCGAGTTGTGACAGAACGCAAAGTGTTTATAAAGAGAAGGCAGCTTGTCGTGAAACACGCGTTAACGTGTACCACTTATGTGACTATGTAAGCATCAGGGAGACTTTTAAAAAGTATTTTTCAATTCGGTGGTCGGGTGCGACACCAGAAAGAAAAAAATTCATACTTGGAGATCTACAACCAGTCCGAAATGCGGGTGACTCGCCAGAATGCTGGTACACTGAATTCAGAAACACAACAGGTAGAATTGACACATCTGTAAATCATTTTCTTATGTTTAAATTAATTCTATGCTGCATGATAGAAAGCAAGTCCTATGAGCTGACTCAAAAATGCTTTATCCCCTGAAAAAAATTACCCACTGAGGTGCATTTTAAGAAAATTCAAGATTTTTGACGCATTGTGACGTTTATTGCTTGGGCAACCTAACGATAATTTCACTCCCAGAACCTATATCTTTTTGTGCGGCGTTGATTACATGTTTTGTCAGTACTGTGAGGCAGTTACTAGCATTTTCTCAATGTAATATTCCAGATAGACTCACAATAGTAGGAACAAGTGCAAATATAGGTAAGTGTTGATTTATGTTCAAGCTGCTACACGAATCAATCAAGTAACAAACTCTGCGTGAATGTATTTTTAATTTCAATTATCAATCTTATTATATACTGGATGCAAATAGGATTTAGAAACATTCACAAATGAATCTTTTTGTACTCTGAAGCCACACAACATCCATGCCTGTTATATTATGCGGCATTTTCTAAAAATAGGAAATGCCAAATAGCATAGTTACTGAAATCTTCTTAGCTTAATATAGCGCTAATGATGACATGATAGATCAGTATGCTAGTGTCAGTTCTCCTCAGTGACTATAGTTTTAAGAATATCGTTTCGTTCTAAAGAGGAAAAAATGACACACAGTAAACACGGTTACTTAAGTTTATTGTCTACAGCTGCTATATCGCTTTTCCACACAGATTGTCAGCAGCTACAATGGTAACATATCAGTGACATCTTCGGGTATTCCATGCCAATCATGGACAGAACAATGTCCACATCGTCATACCATGAACACCACATATCCAGAATTAAATAACGCCAAGAATACTGTCGTAATCCCAAGAACTCAGGACAACGGCCTTGGTGTTTTACTACAGATAGGAACAAAAGATGGGAGTACTGTGAGATTCCTAAATGTACACCAGGTGATGCAGGTTTATTTCAGATGTTTGAAGAACTTCTTTTTCGTTTTCTATGCACTTTCGGTACAGACATTCTTTTAATTTTGGGCGTTGCCTTATAAGCCACGTAAGAAAACGAAAACATAATAATCAGTGGGAAAACGAGGCAGCCCGTAGGGCGAGTTTTTCTACGTTATGTCGAGCTCTCCAAAACTCTACAAGTGTTTCTATAATTGTGTATAAATATAGAAAAAATCTTTCTTTCTTTTATAACGCAAAAAAATTTTTCTACGTCCGTTTCTGTACAGCTTTAGTATAAATTTCGAGGTGACTATTCATTTTCATCCGTTCTGATTGACTAAGATTCACTGTCTCTGAAATGATAGTCACTGGTCGGCTACTCGTTGTTTTTCAAATAAGCAATTTGAAATAATCATAATTTTTTATGAAATTGTGTTGATTGTTATTTGTAAACACCTGGAAATTTATACTAAAACAATTAGTCGCCTTGTGAAATTCATGAATAATTAATGAGTCTATCTTGCAATCATTGCGCAGCATTTTGGTCACATGTATACATTTGTAATTCTCCATAAAGGTCTCATGAATTGTTAATTAATATATTAACTTTGATACAACCAATCTTAATTAGTATTCATAACTTTGTTACACACATGCCCTAATATGCATTAAGCTTTATTTTTCTTTTTACAAGCACGTTAAAATACTCATTCACTTCACCTTCGGCTAGTGAATATAGGCTTGTAAACACCTCCCCTTCGTCGACAAATTGTTAAATAGAAGCACACAGTACGCTTCTCGACCAATCAGTACGTGCGCACTATATATAAATGTTATATTAGAAAAGTAATTAGTGGGCGGGAGGAAGGGCTGCTTGCCTACCGTGCGGTGCCGATTTCAAACTACAGCTTCGGCTTGAATTACTGAGAAAAGGGGGAGGGGTGAAAAGTGCAACCAACAATGGATTTTATTAAGTTTATTTCATATAGGGCAAAAACTGTTCGTATTCAGCACCAGTACATTTATTACGTTGTTTAGTTGACGGTAATTATGGGAATTGGTCATTAAAAGATAAGTGTAATGTGAGTTGCGGCGAAGGTTTTGAAACATGGCAACGAGATTGTGACAAACCTAAGCCAAAGTTTGGCGGAAAATATTGCAGTGAAATCGGAGAGTCAGTTGAATACAGATCCTGTTTGGCTGAACCCTGTCCAGGTAAAGAAATATTATCTTGTTCAAGCATAACTAATATAAGCCGTTAGCATAGTCGACCCCAGAAAATTATCTTGTTTCTTTAACATTGACCAGCAGAAGCAATTCAAACCAATAGATTGTGTCCAGGAAATTAACACATTGTAAATGATTTAATTATCACATACGCGTGGGAATTGAGAATTAGATTTAGTTCAAGTCCTCATTACATATAGTATAAATAATTCCTAAAATTCTAAAACCGGGCGCAAAAAGCGATGATAGTCGGTTTTTCATGATGCGCACGAGCCTAAGTGTACCATCAATGACAACATCATGTTTGCTGAAAACATCAACTTAACCCGGATAGGCAGACTAAAATTATGTTGTCATTTCATGTGTGTGCCTAAGTCTTTTTCACCCTACCACCTTTGCCACCCTTGCATAGAAATGACCAATACTGGTCACACCACGTTCAAGTTGTTTACTAACTTTGATTAATGTGCCGGTTTTCTTACTAGTAAACGGTGGTTATGGCAACTGGAGTGTTAGAATTCCTTGCAATGTTTCGTGCGGTGAAGGAGTGGAGATATGGCGACGTAATTGTGATAATCCTAAACCCAAATACGGAGGCAGTAACTGCAGTGGGCTGGAAACTCGGCTGAATTAAGAAAATGTAAAAGAAAAACTTGTCAAAGTAAGAGTCAAACCAACTATATACATGCTGAAGAGTAACACCATGATATTCAGCGCTTCTGGCATTAAAATCTGGCTTAATCGTCGACACGAAGCTCCATCAGTTGATTCAGTTCTATAACGTCCAGTCACTAGCTGTTAATATAATAACGTTACATTGTCTTTTTTATACGTAACATTTCATTGGTCAAGAGCCATGATCTATTAGAAGACTGCTGCACGGAATGACGTCACAAAAAGTTTAACGAATTTAATCACTTTTTCATTTTGTCAGCCAATCACACTTTAGCAAGGGTTGTAAATTAGCTAATCGCATTTTCAAACCAATAGATCACGAACTCTATGCGTGATATGCTCAATTTTTACCTTTTCAATTTTTGCACTAATTTGGGAAAATAAAAACAACCTGTTTGCCTGTTTAATTTGGGACCTTTTCGATTTTATTATAGAAAACAAAAAGATAACATTTAACCGTTGTCTGTTAAGTAATAGATACACGGTTTGACGCCATTAGTGATAAGAACAAAAAGTTACCAGTCTCCTCGGCAGCGCGTGGCTACTTTTTGGGTTCCATAACTGAACAGACAAGGGTTAAATGTTGTCTATTTATTAATTGGCACATTTTTTACAAAACGTCGAAGTATCTCATTCTAATTTTCATTTTGCAGTTGCTGGTACTTATGGCAACTGGACAAAGTCTTCCCCGTGCAGTGTCACGTGTGGTCAAGGTGTTGAAATATGGACGCGACTATGTTATGTTCCGCCAGGAGAGTTTAGTGAGAATTGTAGTAAGCAGGGAGCAGCTTATCGGGTTCAAGTATGTGAGATGAAACATTGCTCAGGTAACCATTGTTTCGGTCTTAGTACATCCGGGTAAAACGCAAAATTCCTCACCAAAAACATTTTAGTGTTTCACAAGTTCCTGCATAATCATGCTCGTTTTTCATAAAACATTTTCAGTCTGCAAAATCTTTCAAAATATCTTGCTTGCTCTGTTACGCTATGTTACTCAATCTTTTAACAATTTTTTTTGCGAATTTTTAAATGTTTCCAAAAACCGGACCATTTCTATCATCATTGCTACTGTTTCTTTCGTGATTGTCATTGCAGTTGTTTTGTTCATTCGAAAACAAAAAGCCAAAGAAGGTGATTATATATTACTGTGCCTGACTATATTACTTTACCGTTTCTGATTCATTCAGATCAATACCGTAGCCAACTGTCTTTACACAAATACGGCTCACATTCAGCTAATACTTCGTTGAGTACTGGGTGTATCAATAAAACGGCAGCCACCTTATATTCATATATGTTCGTTTCTATTCCATAACAAAAGATAGTAGGCACCTGGGAGGCTTGCACTTTTTTGATACACCCTATAGTTTGATAACAACTGTTTTATTTTCGGATCCATTGGTCTCGCCTGGAAGGACGTGTCCTCTTAGTCATATTCAAAACCGCGTCATTATCTTCAATCCGCTTAAAAAATGTGGAGAGTATGTTGCGACGATTAAACCAAACAGTACCGTCGATAGGGCTCGGGAAACGGGCCGAATGCTGAAAACTGGGCTTATATGTATGCCTGTGGCACTGAAAAATATTTACAATTACAGTGTGAACTAGTCCGCACATGATTAAATGTAAATGTAAAGATGTAATATAGGTGTAAATTTGTAATTATTGATAAGTTTGTGACTGACACATAATACAAGCTAACATTCAGTCAGTACATAGTTTACCCCTGTTTCTCATTCAATGCTCAACTTCCTGCGATGTTTCCTATTGAGTTTCAACGACGCCAGCGTTGCAATCACCAAGCATGGTAGGAAAAAGAGGTAAAAAGTTTGGTAAATTGGTATTAGCATTTTTTTAATCCTCATAGACTCTTCACATTCCGCAACTCCAGAGAACCGCCCTCCAGAGTACGGCAATCTTACACCTGATGGAAATCCGATTCCACAACATTCGCGTGGTGTTGTGCTGTGGAGAAGAGATTATGTCAACACACATTCTTCGCAGAGATCTTGGTATGACAGACTCCAACTATTTCCACCATTGGCGGTTGAATGGCTTCGAAACGCATGGGGAAATGTTGATGAGTCTGGCAAGCATGTTTATGACGTCCTGGGACGTCATGTCAAAAATGTTTTCGTTCCGTACGACGATTTGTGCTTAAAAACAAATACGGTACAAGAGGGAAATGGGACAGAACTTTACGACACTCCAGAACGACCCTCACCTGTCATATTACCTACAGAAATTGCTAACTGTCCCACAACCGAGATTGCTTAATAATTACAGGACATCTGTCTCTCTTCCCTGGAAGTCGTGCTGGGTTTTTTAACTTTGCTCATGACCGATCATAAAATTTACTTCGTCACAGTAGCTTAGTATGTTTTTTTATTTGCATATTCTTTATAAACATCAGTGTAGTTTTCTTGTAATTTTTGTCTCGCATATTCAACCCGGGATGCCGAAGCAGTTGGGGCAGGAGGGGCAGCTGCCCCCTTGCCTTTTGCTAGCAGGGACAAGGGGAACAAAGGTTGTTTACCATTTACATGGGAAACCTATCCGGTTTGAAATTGTGCTAATGGTAAGCAAAATATTTGTTAAAAATCCCATTCGGATTATGCGCTTTCCATTTATACCGGAATCCATTGAGTATTTAACAATTCCAAGATAACGGCTTTAATTTTTGACATCTTTATTTTAAGTCAATGGTGTCATTTCTGTTGTAAAAGGAAGCAACTTAAAAACAAATTCGTTAGAATTACTTTACTTACCACGTTCATTGCCACGCAATCGTATTGTACCAGTAAAGGAAGGTCTCCAGTGCTGAAGAGGTATGAATTGCACTGAAACGATACATTGATTTTTTAAATTACCGCGTAAATTTAATCGTGAGGAGCCTGGAAGTGGTAAAAAAAATTGAGACGGACAGAATTAACCGCTTGAAACTTCCCAATCGGTATGAGAGGACAACCTTTTCAAACAAGCCGTTTATTCCGGAAAATTTCTGGTTGAGCCTTCGAAATATGCTTTTTCCATTTATTTTCCATATGGAATCACGGAATTTCCATGTAAATGGTAAACAACCAAAGTTGCCCTTTCATTTTAACGAACCTTTCATTTTAATGAACAGTTGAAGGGAAAAACGCGTCAACTACAGTTCTTCCGGCAGAATCAAATTTACGCATTTGCGATGCCGGTGCGATGCTCTTGCCACTAGGGAGTTTACGATCTACGACGCGGTTAGCTCGACGACGCTAGTCAATTAATTTGCTGGAAAAAGGCTACGAGAAATTAATTATGCTGCCAGGGCTTTGAAATATTCATACAAACATCTCAATAATGCTCAGAACCTCTGATGTCTAGCTGATATTGCAGTTTCATATAAGCTATCAAACAGCTAACACGTTGCAGCTGCTTTATGTCGTCGAGAGGCCGTGAAATTGCCTTATTTCAAGGCGTCGCTGGGATGGCAACGCTATCGTGGGACCACAAATTATGCATACCTATTTTCTCGCGTGTTGAGTTTCTTTGTTTCGCAAGCGCGTCGTTGAGCTGGCAACGTCGTGAATCGTCGACTGCCTACTGAGCTGCAGAGGTAGATGGCAAGAGCAAGCGTGTTTATTTAATGCATGTGTAATTTGGTAATGCCGGGAATGGTTAAGGGTAAATCGATTATGATTTTTGGCATTCACTCGATGTAAGTAAATTCTAGAGGTTTTAAAGGGTGTTATTATATGACAAGCGTCACTTCAGGTGAAATGGAGCTCAGTGATTAGCAGTGTCAACTATATGTCCTCCGGCAGTAATCGTACGTACGCTTTTGCAATGCCGGTGCAATGCTCTTGCCACTGAGCTACAGAGGTAGCTGACAAGAGCATTGCACCGGCACTTGAATTTGCCCTCCATTATCGCGCTCCCTTTTTCGACTGATGTTTTCGATACCAATGCCTCCTCTAGTGTTATTTATAATCTCTATGCTTGGAACACTACCGCAGAGAAAGGAAACGATACAGAGCTGTTTTGTACCTGCTTTTTTTAGTGCACGTGAGTTAAAAGTGACCAATTGCGCATGCTCGAGTTTTACAATATCGTCATCTATATTGCATTTTACACACTTAAGATGAATTGCAGAATTGTTTCTACTTTAAATCTATGGCACTTGCCAAGCATGCGCATAAAAATGTGAGTACACTGGTTCCAGTTCTGTATCTATTGTTTAGTCTCTGACACTACCTTGTTGTTTTTTAAAACAATTACTTAATGGCTTCTGCATGTGTTCGGATGGCCTGGTCCAAACACTTGGGAATGTTGGGAGAATTAGGAAAAGCTCGCAAAATCACTCACTTTCGGCTCCTGTTTCGCGCACTTTTCTGAACTCTTGAAACATTCCATGCAAGAATATGGTTTACGAGCTAATTAATACATTTCTTAAGTGCGCAATATTTGATAAAAAAATAACAATGTATTAAACTAGACTAACATATGGACATGTATACCTTATTATTATTCTAACCTGTGGGCAATAAAATAGATAAATATACAATGATTTAAGGTTTTGGACTTTTGGAAGGAGATTTTTGCTAAAAGAGAAGAAACGTGCCACATATATTAACCAATTCTCAGAAATATGACGTCATTACCGCTATTATCCATCAATTCACACATTTTACTCAAGACAAATCTCGTTAGCCCAATTGTTTGCCTATCTCCGAAGTGTTGGGAGCTACGGCTCTCTAAACGGCTGAATTGGGCGTGCTCTAATTATAATAGGAACTAAGGTCTAGGTCAAACGTCCCTCTTTTCATGCACCGAATTCGAACCTAATGAAAATGAACTAAAGTCTTTGGTTGAGCTCCTTTGCATTAGGTTCGGCGCATGAAAAGAGCGACGTTTTTCCTAAGTTTCAAATTGTTTTCTTCTAGAAACTAAGAACGCTATTTGCTTTATTTTTAAAAGCTACGTATATAGGTCGAGCACAACAATGTGAGTTGTTTTTAAAACACCTGAAGTTTGAAAGAAGCTGTATATTTGACTCGTTATATTTTCAATAATCTCTGAAGTTAGGAGCTCCTATTATTACCGGCTATTAGCACAATCTTTAAAACACGCTGCTTCTAAAAGCTCAAGTTTCTCCAATGCAGTGTATAATGGTAAACAGATATATAACCCATTTTTCTCCTCTTGGAACACAATTCCTCCGTCATCGCTGTCTTCACTCCAAGGGCTACTGCTGCCGCTTTCACAATCACTGGAACTAATTGTTTGTTCTTGGGAGGTATGATCGGGCGCGGTAGAAATCTTTGTTCCGTTATGCCTCGGCGAGGCTTGTTCCAGTGATGTCGAGGGTACTGTGATGTGCTGTTTTGAAACGGCATGCTCCCGCGATGTCGTGACTGCTGGGTTGAGTTGTTCGGAACACACCTCTTCCTGTTGTTGGCTGAAACTTGTTTCTTCCGCCTGTTTTTTTGAAGCAAGTTCTTGCGATGGGAAGGCGAAACCTTTCTTTGGTAATAAGTCAGCACTCACTTCGCAAACACCATAAGCAAATACTTGCTTCGCATTTTTTTCATCACGAAAGAACACAAGAGAACCTGAATCACCGTTTTTCAGGAAAGGAGCACCACCGTATCCTTCGACAACAAATCCATCCTCAAAAAGCGGTTCCTGTCCTATGCTGTAGCTGAAATCATAAGGAACGATATATCCTTTCGTTAAGGCTGAAGAAAAACCGTTTTTTTCTACATGAACTGGACTCGTTTTCTTTTCAATAACTCGCTCATACAGTTCGTCATCAATCGTATCCCAATCCGGTGAGGTTACACCCGAAATTGTACAAAAAAGTTGAACGTCATTCGGAATCTTTAGGGACAATATATCACATTCTGTATTAAAATGCGCGTTTTCAAAGTCACCAAGTCGCAAGTAGTTGCTCCCATCATCCCCAAACGAAATGGCCTCGTTGTTGGTTTCTCCTTTGCTTTCGGTAAAAAAGTATTCTTTTTTTACGGCTTGAGCTTGCAAATATGCCAGTTTGCTGCGCATTTGTTGGATACCTTCTGCTTTATTGATTGCAGCATTCAAACGAGCTTCATCAGATGCACAAGCAACGTGAAAGCAAGTAAGTGCGTAATGCTGTCCGTTTTTGCAACAAAACATAGTTAGCGTTCCTGTTCCTTCCACATCAGGTAAGTCTCTCTCGCCTTCAGGTACATGACATGGGTTATGATTACTTTGTCCACTGCAAGCTAATACACCACCACCTGGTGCTGGAAGGACTGGTGTAGCGGACGATGAAGTTTCGACTCCAACACTCGAAGTATTTTGATCCCGAACCAAGAATTTGATATTCGGATTTTCTTTAGGCTCTTGCAGAAGCTCAAAATATTGCTTTGCGTCAACATTGAATTTTTCTTCAAGGTCGCGTCGTACATCGGATTTTTTCATTCCTCTTTTAATTGTGAGGTAAATATGTGGGCGACAAATCTTCTCGTTTGGGCCAGAAAGGCCATATGCTCCACACAACCACGGGAAACTATATATAAAATATCAAATATACATTATGCATGGAGAAGTAACTTTAAAGCTTTAGAGAAGAGCCAACCTCGTATAAGTAAACTATAGCAAAGTTAGTTGTACGGAACACTAAATACCTCCTTAAAGCTTCGTGAATTTCTTTTTTTAGCTTGCGTTTTGAATTAAGAAAAGTGTCTTTAAACCAGGTGTTACTTTCGTTTGGGCCAGGAGGGCTATGTGCTCCGCATAACCGCGGGAATCTATAAAGTATAAAGAATATTAATTTATGTGGAAGCAAACACCACTTTAAAATGCGTTTAAATAGAGAAATGTGTACAAATTGTTGTTAAGAGAGTTAGGCGGAAAAAACATAATTACTCGTACCTGGGAGCTTTAGCCCCGCTGGACGGCCCAGGTTGCGAAGGAGATTTAAGAGGAACGCTATAATTTGTATAATATTATATAATTTTGAAATTCACTCTCGAAAATGTAATTTTGTGTACAAAAATGTGATAAAGAATCATGACAGAAACTGTAACAAAGCTTTTCAACTTCCGTTTCACATTAACAATAACTTTTTCAAACCTGGAGTTTATATTTTCTTGAGACATCTCCGCATGCGCTGGCTTGGTATCTGTTTTTGTAGAACATGAAATTAAAACATATTTTAATTAGTCAAAAATGTCAAATCTTAGAAATATCCCCCATCGCCCCTTCGTTATTGTTGGTTCAACTAGAATTTTGATCTCTCATAAACTTTGTCGCTGTGGTAAACCCCAGAAGTGTTCGGAATTATTTCATTTACATACGAGGTTTTCTCGACTTACACGAGACTCTGCAGTGTTGCGGTAACTCATTCCTTGGTTTTTCCTTAAATGTAATTAAGTACTCAGGGTAGTGCTGATAGTCGTAAAAAACAACGTGGATCAGTGGATTTCTGACATTGTCAACAACAGAGTCGTAACTGAAATTTGGATTGCTAGCGTCAATTTGTGGTGGGGCAATCAGACCTTCTTTTCCTTTTGTGTATTTACCGACCAAGACCTTGGCTATATACATATACTGAAGGCTCTCGTTATCAGGAACAGCATATTGCCTTCTGCAGAAGTACCAAGCTTTGTTGGAAAAACACACACCATTTCCAAACTTTAAAGCTGTAATATAAATAAGAACTATATCATTACAACCGTAATCTGTAATTTCTCCTTCAGTTAGGGTTTCATGGATGTGGAAGATTGTTTTGATTAAAATAGGTGGATAACGTTGTTTTTGAGAATGGATGTGGATAAATGAAGAGGTATAGGTGGTGTTGAATTGATAAAGGGCAGTAATGAGTTAAGGAATGCTATTTGGGAGCGAGGCATTAATTAGTGATGGTGCTTGAGTGTGAATAAATAATGCTTTAAAGTTCAATAACTCATTTTCTTCAAAAGGCAGTCGTACAGTCACAAGTTGCCCAGATTGTTTCTTTGTAGGTAGAAACAGGAATAAATAAACTACGTTGTGGCGCACCCAACGAACATAGTTGTTCACAAAGTTGCCATTACAGTTTGTTAACAAGATGTTGCAACTTGCTGGCATAGTTACTGCTACGGTTCATCCTATTCTCCTCAAATGAGAACAATTTGAGCGTTTTATTGTTGTATAGAGGACCATTTGTACAAATATCAGAAGTTAAATTTGTCAAGAATTTGGTCAAGTTACCGTTAAATTTTCCAGAACAATATCTGTTAAAACCAGTGCAGTTAATTCTTTCCACAGCGTCTTTTGTTGTTCCATGATACAGCGACATTTCATTTCCACCATTGCTCATTTTCTGCTTTTTCGCCTGGTACAATTGATACAATCCTGGATTTTGAATTCTTTCAATCTTTACAACCTCCGTTTTACGTATGTTTGCCCCTAGTGAGAGCGATGCTTGAAACATGTCGTGGAGTTGGTTGTATTCTGTGTCTTTATTTGCAATATTGAATCGAAACACTTGAAGTTCCTGCCCAGTGGAACCATCTATTGGCTGATATTCCCAATTTGAAGGGAGTGGAAATGCTTAAAAGATGTAAATTAATATGTATCTGTATCAATCAATGCTTCGGTATTTTTAAGTATGATTAGGTTAAATGTCTTCAAAAATATTATCAAATAACAATACCTTCACACGGGCGTCTGAAAACTTTCATTGGATCTTCGCTTGAAGTCAAACATGTCTCTGTCATGGTTTTGAAATCTATTTTATATTTCGACTCAACGTCATCAAATTCGACAGTTCCTAAATGATTTCTCTTGTACTCCGTCTCTATCTTTGCGCTTATTTCCTTTGCGTACTTTTCAGGAATAACAACGCCTCTATTGCCCTCGTAATAGAACCATTCAACCTAAAACAAAGTGCATTAAGAATATTTTTACATGTGATGTTTGAATTCCTAAAGATTTGCTTCTTGGGAATTACTGATA